CTCAAACGCTGGTCTTTGGAAGTCCAAATACTTTTTTGAACCTAGTTTCCTTCACTCCAAGAGTCTGAGCATTCCTGTTCCGGATGCCAAGTGCCCAGAGGTCCTGACCTTCCCCAGTGACAATTCTTGGCCAGGCCAGGCACAAGCCCTCAGCTATTTCTGACTTCTCAGGTCTGCAGCTGGGGGCTGGGAGTGGCCAGGGACCCGTGTTGCTCACATCTACAGCCCTGGACCCTGAGAGAGTCAGGGAGGGAGGGCCATGTCTGCGAAAGTAACGCTGCCACTAGCTTGTTGTGTGCTGACAGCTACAGAAGGCTGTGACTCTTGTTCCTATACCCCAGTCCCAGATGGGGACACTGAGGCATGGGGAAGAGTTGGCCCTGGCAGCTGTGGCCCCCTCATATCCTGGGGCTCTGTGCCCACTGTCCTGCCGTGACACACTAGGGCACATCCACAGAAGGAAGGCATGGGTTGCGCACAGTTGCCAAAGGGGTGCGCATCAGGAGAGCGGGACACCGCAGCTCTCAGATTCAAAGCTCACAGACACATAACAGGGCCCATGGCACCACATCTTTGGAGACACCATTCTCCAGCTCAGAACTCCTCAACAAGGCGCAGTGGCTCATGACCGTAATCCCAGCACTTTGGGAGGCCAAGGCAGGAGGATCACTCGAGGCCAAGAGTTGAAGACCAGTTTGGGCAACATAGTAAGGTAGTTAGACCCCATCTCTACAAAAATGAAAAAAAAATTAGCGTGGCATGGTGGCGCATGCCTGTCCCAGCTACTCGGGAGGCTGAGGCAGGAGGATCGTCTGAGCCCAGGAGTTTGAGGCTGCTGTGAGCTATGACCGTGCCACTGCACTCCAGCTGGGTGACAGAATAAGACTGTGTCTCTAAAAAAACAGAAAACGAAAAAGAAAAACCTTTCCAACTCACATCAAAACCTGACACAAACCCCTTGGACACGCAACTCTCAGACACACACCCCCTCGATATACACCCCTTCAGACTCACAACACCATCAGACTCTCAACTCCTTGGACACACAACCGTCAGGCTCACACCCCTTAGACACAAAACTTGCGCACACAGACTCAGAAACACAATCCCTTGGACGCACTCTTCAGACTTACACTGCTGCAGACACACAACTCTCGGAAACACAACTTGCATGCTCGCACCCCTCAGGCACGTACTCCTGGGAGACACAGCTCCTTCATAGCACACCCAACCCCGGGACGACAGCAGCACACCCGGACCTCCCAACCCAATGCAGCCCACAGAAGCCGTTCAGAGGACACCGCACGAGTCTCGACCCAACGTGACACGCACCTGCTCGGCCGGGCCCTCGGACGCGGAGCGCAGGGACCTGCGGCGGCAGCATAGAGCTCTCGGCGCCCGCGGCCACGGATGCCTTCCGAGCGGGCGGCCCCGCCCCCGGGAGCTGATTGGGCCACGCAGATTATTTGCATAGAGGGCGTTGCCGTGGGGGTGTAATGGGCGGGCACTTGGGCGTGGCCCCGCCCCAGGAGTTCAGGGGCTGGGACTCAGAAGACACTGGTGGGGGGCATGTATAATGAGGGGAGAAGGACGGGGCGGGGGAGGGGATAGTGGGGGGGCTGGATAAGACCGGCCAGGCATACCCCGCCCTCGCTAGGAGCCCTTGACCTTACTGCTGACCCCTGACCCTTCTGTTACCCTGACCCTAACTCTCCCACTGCTCACAGGCAACGCTGACCCTAGCTCACACCCAAACGGAGGGACTACAGAAAAGGACTCCGGGCTGGCCTGTGTGGCCTTGCTGTGCCTCCACAGGAAGATGGCCGACCCTCTGCTGCTGGTCCAACGACCCTGCCCTGTGCCCCGTCCACAGCCATGCCCCTGTCCTTTCCTCTCCCTCCTGGCCACTGTTTCCTTCACTTCAAAGATCAGCTGTGGGGGCTCTTCCAGGACTGGACCCCAGTCCAGAGTCTAAATTCCCCCTCCCCCAGGATCCCAGCACCTCCCCGCACAAGGCAGACCCAGAGGAGGATCAGAGGGGCCTTGACGAGTGAATCGATGGGAAAAGAATTACGAGATGAAGATGGCTCGGGACTGGGCAATTCTCGAGAAGCCCACATACTCCCCCAGCCCTGCAAGGTCAGGCTGGGGCCAGAGGAAGGGATGGGAGGCTGGGACAGGCCAGAACTGGGGACAAGGGCTGTGCCAGAGGAGCAAGGAGGGCTTCCCAGAAGAGGGGGGCATTTGTACTGGGCCTTCAAGTATGAGTAGGAGTTTGCCATTGGGAGAAAGGCTTCTCAAGAGGGAACGGCACTTGCAGAGGTGCAGAGGAAGAGCACGGAGCATTCTTAGTGGGGGACAGGGGCAAGATGAGGGAGATGAAGCCCACAGAGCAGATCAGGGTGGGAGCAGATCAAGGTGGGAGCAGATCAAGGTGGGAGGGCAGGCAGGGGCTCAGAGGGGAGAGGAGGCCATCCATTAGGGGCAGATGCAGCGAGGAGAGCAGGTGGGTTGCAGTGGCTGCCTGGTGTGCAATTCCTCGGGAGACAAGAGGTGACTAGGCCCCTGGACTCAGGCAGACACATGTGGGGAGATGTCAGTGTATGGGGGACCCCGAGACAGGGAACAAGGGATCTGGGAGGCTCGTGCCTCTCCCTGTGCCTCAGTTTACCTGTCTGTGACATGGGCAGCTTGGGCCTCTCTTCTGGGCACAACTTTCTTTTTGGACACAAAAACCAGGGTTCACACCGTGTCATCAGTGAGTCTCCCCGGCCCCCACCCAGTGCTCAGTGCCACACACTCAGGTGGCCCAAGGACACACCAGGGCCCGGGCCAGGCAAGGGGCTTCCGCCTTGGCTCTAAGGTGCAGAATAGGGCTCAGGGAGCGTGAAGGCGGCTGGGGAGCCTGGGCCCTCCGAGGGCTGCTCTGTTTACCCGCGGCTGCCCTCCGCCTCTGATGCAACAGGCAGGCTCTGGTTACGTGAGGGTGGCAGCTGGGCCAGCTCTGGGAGCAGTCGCGGTGTGGTGGGAAGGGCCGGCCTGGCGGAGCTGAGCTGGCTGGGCTGCACCTCCATGCACCCTGACCCTCTATCCGCACCCCCTACCAATGGGGCTCCCTCTCCTCTTCCTGCCTCCCCACCGGCTCTGGGCTCCCCCAGTCCCCTTCCTATTCTGATCAGCACCTCCCACGTCATTCGTTGTGTCCCCCAGCAGGGCCATCACGAGTCTCGACCTTGGTCTTCTCAGATGAGGAGACCCTCAGCTGCTGGAATAAGAGGTTGGACATGGAGGGGAGGGTTGGGGGGACTGGGAAGGGGGCCTGGGAGATGGGAGTGGGTGGGGAGGCAGAGTGGGAAGAGGGGGTGGAGGAGCTGCCGCCTCCACTCCTCCGCTTCTTCTCCCAGAATGTCAGTGGCGAAGCCTTTGAAGGACCTTCCATGGCAAGGACAGTGTGGTCCAGTGGGTAGGGAGGGGCCCCAAGGTTAGAGAACCCTGAGTCACCAACCCAGTTTTGCCACCCTCTCACTGTGTGACCTCAGGCCAGTCGCGTCACCTCCTCTGAGCCTTTCTGAGCCTTTTTGCCCATGTGAGACGTGGGGACAATGGCAGCCCCTCCTCCTGGAGGACTGGAGCATTTCAAGGCCACCTACAATGCCCCCTCCTCCAAAAGCCTTCCCCATCCTCCTCCCGTTTGGGGTCCCTCCACCCCATCCCTTCTTCCAGCCCAGCACTGACCCAGAGGGCTGGGGGTGTACATGTCCAGCTCTGTCTTCCCCAGCTTGGGGGCTCCTCAGGGCCAAGCCCAGTGCATGATGGCAGCAAAGGGGTGTCTCCATGGGTTTCTTGAAGAACTGGAGAACCCCAGAGAGGGTGTGAGTGGCAGAGGAGCAGGGGAGCCAAGCTTGGGGCACCCAGGAGCCTTGTTGGGGGACACAACAGGCCTAGGAAGGGGCTTCCCAGGGGCCTAAGTGTGCTGGACTCTCCAGGAGGGCAGAGCAGGCCTGAAACAAAAACCAGGACTTGGAACCAAGGGCTAAGGACAAAAACCCATTGGTCCTGACTGCTGCAGACAGACCAGGGTCAGGTCACTGCCCCAGGGTCAGGTCAGGGGCCTCCTATTACCACAACCACAGATTTGAAGGGGCTCACACTTCACTCAGGGTTGGGATCCTTCCCAGGTCATCTCTGGCCTCGTGGCTGCCAAGCTCCTACTTGAATGCCGCATGGCACGGGGAGCTCACTGTCTCTTTTGTGGCTGGGAGCAAGTCCTACTGAGCAGGGTCTGGCAGTGCCGTTGCCCTCCACCCTGACAGCGGAGGCTGTCAGCCTCTCGGAGCCTCAGTCCACTCTCTGAAAAGCTGGGGTGAGGGCACACAGGGTGAAAAAGGGCGGAGAGTCACAACGTGCCCGGCAGGACCAGCAAGGACTGCGGACAATGACCACTTGGAGGCCCAGCTCCCGTCCACGGCTTTGCCTCTTGCGCCCTCTGGCGGCAGGACGGGGTGGGGCGTCCTCCCGGCGGGAAAGGCGAATCGGACATGCAGATGACATGCAAATTAACCAGCACCCGCGAGCCCTCGGGATCTGGGTGGCGAGGCTTCTGACAGCCCAGAGTCCTGTTCAGACTCCTTTAAAAGGAGACGGCTATTAGCCGCTGGCTGAGGTCGCATCCAGGGCGACATGAAGCCCCAGAAAGATCTGGGGCACCCCACAACTGTGCCGCATTAGCTCTCAGCTCCCCAGTTGCCCAAGGCAGCTGCTGGGATATGTATGATGATCTCACGTAGCTGCCTGTTTGTCCCACGGGTCATTAGAGCATCCCCCTGGCCCACAGAGAGGACCCCCTCTGCTTCCCCTAGGGCCTTCCCTTGACACCCCTCCTCCCACAACAACCCTGTAGCATCAAGCTGGGGGATCCTCCCAGAGTGGTGGGCCCGAGACCCATCCTAGCTATACCCTGAACAACTCCATTCTGCTCTTTCTCATACATTTTACTGGAACAAAGGACTCTGGGGCTAACACTGCGTTGGCACTCGGAGGTGTACGAACTGTGGACACGTGACCACCCAGGCTTGGAATTCACAGGCACAAGTGCAGGCTCTTCTGCACGCGGCTGCAGAAATACATTCAAAGCAAGTTTTGACAAAAATGGTAATTCAGGGGCTCATGAAACTGAAGAATTGAAATTGGCTAGTGTCAGGTACAGCTGGGGCCAGGGCCGCACGCAATGTTGTCAGGTGACGCACCTTCCAGCCACTCCACTCAACCACTTGGGCAAGAAGACACTTCCTTCTTCATGCTTCCGGCAAAATTCCCAGGGAAGCCCTCTCATTGGGTCATATGCCCATCTCCAATCAATCACTGTGATCTGGGAGATGGAGGGCTCTGACTGGCCAGGTCATGGTCCCATGTCCACCCCTGGAGCTAGGGGTGGACTCTCCATATGGTCAGGGTCTGGAGCGGAAGTTGCTGCTTGAAGCGGAACACAGGTTGGGCAGGCAGGTCTGAGCGTGTCTACCTCATCCCATAGAGAAGGTCCAGTCCAGACGGAGAAAGGGAGAACCAGAGAGGGCTAGCACCAGGCCCCACATCACACAGCACGTCAGAGGCAGGGCTGGGGCCAAACTAGGTCAGGGTCTCCTTTTCTCTTGCTGTGAGACCTGGTGCAAGTCACGTCCCCTCTGGGAGCCTCTCTTTTCCCATCTGTGTTTGGGGGTGAGACCTGCCTTACCGGGCTGTCTGAGGATGAAATGAGATTATCCTCACGCAGCCTCCAGCACAGCGCTGGGCATACAGTGGGTGCACGATCAGGATTATGGAGGTGGCAGTTATTGGTTCAAGGGGCCATGTCCGTGGCTGATGGGGGTTAGGTAAGAGTCCAGGAGCAGCAAAGCCGTGTCTGGGAACATTCGCAGCTGGGCGTGGAAGCTCCAGGCAGGAGCAGAAGAAAGGTGCTAGTCACGCTTGCTCTTTCTTCAGCCTGTGTGGGGCCCACGAGGCTGTGTCCAAGGGCCCACTTTGGTCAGGCTGGGGGCCAGAGTCAGGGTGTGGTCTGAGGCATGGACCCAGGGGCTGAAGTGGTAGCCGAGGGAGAAGCCCGGCTGGGCCAAGGACAGAGTGAAGCTTGGGGGTCGGAGGGTCTGGGTGGGGATCCTGGTGCTTCTGGGCATGGGTGGTGACCCCAGGCTGGCTGCCTCACCTCTCTGAGCCTCGGTTTCCTCTTCTGTAAAACAGGGTAGTGTTTAGGGTCCTGGGACTGGAGAGGCAGGTGACAACTTGACCAGTGAAGGTCGGCGGTGACCCTGAGGGGAGCAGCTTTGCAGAAAGGTGGGGGTGGGAGGCCCTGAGTAAGGTGGTGAGGCAGTGGCTCTGGGGAGAGGAGAGGGGTCTGTAGGGACACAGGTGGGGTCAGGAGCATTTGACAGGCACAGCAGAGGAGGGGACAGCAGATGGCGCAAGGGAGTGGGGAGGGCAGAGGGGCAGTGTCTTTGAGGGACGAGTGGGAAGGACTGGGGTGTGGAGGGTGTGATGGCGGGTAGGCCCAAGGCTGGTGTGGGGCATAGGGCTGGGCTGCCAACCCCTGGGGCAGCCCTTCCTGCTTCAGGCCCCCTAGATGGCCCCCAGGCCACCCCTCAGCCTGTGGGACTCCTGACCATGCCCACACTCAGAGCTAAGCCTGGGATGAGGAGGTGCTCAGGAAGTGCTCGCCAACTGACTGACTGTGGTGCCCAATAAGTGCTCGCTGACTGAGGGCAGTGGTCAGTAAGTGTTCACTGACTGTGGTGCTCAGTAAGCACTAACTATGGTGCCTGATAAATGCTCACTGCCTGAGGTGCCTAATAAGTGCTCACTGACTGATTGTGGTGCCTAGTAAGTGCTGACTGGACACACGTGAACTCTGCTGCCTCTTGGCCCTGGGGGCTACAGCTCTGAGGGGCTGTGGGGCCACATCTGTACCTACCTCCCCATGACCTTGGAGAGGGCCTCCATGGCACAGGGGACAAGCACAGCACCTGGCAAATGGACAGGGGCTCCATAAAGTCCCCGGGCACTTTGTACCGTCCTGCACCTGCCCTTCACGGGCACAGACTACCCATGCATCAGAGCTTCCTGGTGCCATGCCCTCCATGAGTGCTCAGCCACATGGTCTGGGCTTCATGCCACCCTTGCACAGTCCTCTCTCATATGGTCCTGAGCCTGGCCACGTGACTGACCTCCCCAGCGGGACACCGGCACATGTGAAGGAAGCAGAGGCTGGGTGAGCAGTTTGCCTGGGTACTGCCCTGCTGGAGAGGCTGCAGGGAGAACCTGACCCCCACCATCCCCCAACTTTGCTGCCGATAGTACCAGTCAAGGACCAGACCTGTGAGTGAGGCCCCCTCTGAGCTGCAGCTGAGTTCCAATGAGGGCCACATGAGAGACCCCCAGATGAGAGCAGAAGAACCGCCCAGCTGAGCCTAGCCCAAACTGCAGGATCATAAGTAGGTAAATTATTGGGGCTGTAAACCACTAAGTTTGGGGTAGTTTGTCATGCAGCAATAGCTGACGGCTACAATGTATATCCGTCACTGTACCCTGTGCCCTCTCTGTCACCTGATGAGCCATCTTTACAGAAGGGCAACAAAGGGACCAGAGGAGGGAAGGAACTTGCCAGGGTCACACAGCAGGTAAGCAGTGGAGGGGGCATTACCGAGTTGGGTGGGTAACTGTCATGCTGGGCTCTGTGTGAGAATCAGTTTGGGTAAAGCAGGCTGCTGGCATGTGGTGGGACAGGGGAAATGTTGAGCCCCCTTCTCTTGAGTCTTGGGCATAGGGAATCCTGGGACTGGGACGGGGCTTGAGGCCTGGATAAGAGGCAGGAAGAAGGTGGAGAGAGAGGGAGATGGCTGACAAGGTCCCCAAGCAGCAGAGAACACAGAGTGGGCCACTCTGGGGCTGCAGATACCCCTCCTGTCCTCCCACACCCAAAACCATCCTACAGATCCAGTGAGAAAGTCCAAGTGGTTAGACAAGCAGGTCCCTGCTTGGATGCCAAGCGGGCAGGTTAGTTCAGAGCAGAGAGAGGCTCACGGCTACCCTCGGCACTGACCTGGGTTGGGGGAGGCAGAGAGGGCCCCAAGTCTCTTCTGGGATCAGGCTGAGGAGGGCGGGGGTGGTTCCTCGGGGCTGGAACAAAACACGTGCAGCTTCCATGAGGCCCGGGTCAGAGGCCACGTGGCCTTCTCAGCTGGCGAGAGTGCAGGTTTGGGTCACACTCTGGTCCCCTGTGGCCTTAGACTTCAGGGCACGCTCTTTAAAAATGGCACCAGCCACCCACTTCAGAGGCCATGGCTGGGACTCACTGACACAGGACTGGGTGCCTCAAACCGACAGGACTTGCAAAGAGAGGTGTCAGCAGCGCTGTGAGCTGCTACTACTGTCTTCCAGAAGTGAGTTGCATTTTCGCAACAGCAGGCACAAGCAAGGCGTTGGAAAGCACTTTGGAAACCATGAGTTGACAGTAAGAGGTGGGGCTTTTGAGTGAATTTTAGTCCCAATTGCCAACCACCGACCGCTGGCAGAGCACCCAAATGCCTCTCCTCCTCAGATGCAAGAGAGCCCAGATAAACCCGTCGTGCCACCCTTGGAGACTGCTACACGCCCATTCTTACACATGCTCGAGGCCTTTTTGTTTTCAACAATTCTCCGTCTTAGTTATCAGAAACAGCAACACAGATGTTTTCTTCTTTCTAAATGCCTGGTGGGGGACAGGCATGCCAACCTGTGGGAGCCAGACGCATCCCAAGGTGACCTTACGGCTTACAGCATGTGCGTGTATGTTCATATGCATGTTTATTAAGTTATAATGAAAACAAGAAACAAACAGAAGAGCTACTTCTCCAAAAACTCTCTCCCCAGTGTGCAAGGACTGTACGTGTTTTTCATTCCCAGATCATCTGGTCCTCGGCTCAAACCCTTCCTCTGCTCTCGAGGCTCGAGGCCCTGGGACAGGGTGGAGAGAGGCCCCTGCCCGCCTCCCTTGCCCCATTTCTTCTCCTTGCCCGTGTGCCCATTCCAGCCACACTGGCATTCCTTTAATGAGCCCAGGGCCTAGGCCCTTGCCACTCCGCCACCTGGAACTCTGTCCCCTGATCTGTCTGCAGGTCGTTCAGGCCACCTCCTCAGAGAGGCCCCACACCCCTCTGCTTCCTTTGCAGCACCTCGGAAAGGCTCTCGTCTGTTGTGTGTTTACCTGGTTGCTGTGTCTCCCTGAGCCTGCCTGTCTCAGTCACCACCGTGTCCCCAGCACCCAGCCCAGGGCCGGGCACACAGCAGCGTTCGGGATCTGGGTGCTGCGTGACTGAACTCTCCAGCTACAGATGCCAAAGGACAAGAGGAAGTCACCAGACATCATGAGACAAGGAAAGGGAGTTTTCAACAAGCGAGAAGCAGCGGGTCCTGGCAGCGGGGGTGGGCCATCTCAGGAGCTACCTGTGGCCCTGAGCGGTGGCATTCATGTGGTCCCGGATGCTGATGGCCTGTTTGAGCAGACCCTCGACGCTGCGGAAGTAGACGCTGCTGTCCACCAGGTTCTTCACGGCGCTGAAACGGGAGGAGGGGCCAGGTCAGCTCCCCGGGCCCGTGGTGCGTCCCTGCACTCTGGCACCAGAGGGGACCTCGGCCAGAATTTGGCGGGCACCTTGGTGATTCCATCGGCTTAAATTTTAGATTTCCCTGCTACGCCTAGATGACATCTATTACGCCTAGATGACATCTATGCAACAGAGCACACAATGGCAAGATGTAACTTTCATTTCACCGCTACTGAAACATCTAAAGTTTCAGTAGGTATAAGCATGTAAAGCTGGCCTCAAAAATATTTTGGGAATGATGGTGAAAGGAGTAAAAAAAAAAGAAAAAAAGAAAACAATTATCTTGGTCAGGCATGGTGGTGCACGCCTGTAATTTCAGTTACTCAGGCTGAGGTGGGAGGACTGCTTGAGGCCAGGAGTTCGAGACCACCCTGGGCAACACAGCGACACACTGTCTCTACAATAAACAGAAAAATTAGCTGCGCCTGTAGCCCCAGCTACTTGGGAAGCTGAGGCAGCAGGATCGCTTGAGCCTGGGAGTTTGAAGTTGCTGTGAGCAACCATGATGCCACTGCGCTCTAGCTTGGCCAACAGATTGAGGCCCTGTCTCAAAAAAAAAACAAAAACAAATAAAATAAAAATAAATTAAAAAAAGAAAACAGCCAGAGAAGCCATCTCCTCTTTGTAACCTGAAGATTTAGAGAAAGTCAAACAAAACAAAAAATAAACGCCCATATTTGCGCTTTGGCTCTCCCCTCTAGCTGCCACCCACCCTACCAGCCCATCCGTGGTCCCAGCTATGGCAAAGAAATGCTGGCCCCTAGAGGCACTGGCTCCCCACCTGGGTGGCACCTCCCAGAATCCTTTCACTCTCTCCAGTGACGGACAGGGAGGGGCTCAGCCCAGGGAAGGGGCTCGCCTGAGGCACCGGCCAGGTGGGTCAAGATTTGGCCCACACGCTTCTCCTCAGGTAGGTTCAGGATGAACGCCTAGGAGGCCAGAGACATGCAGGGCGCCGGAGCGGGAGCAGGAGGTCGAGGCCCTCACCTGCAGGCATACTCCACGGTGTAGATGGCTCCCTGGCTCTGCTCCTCCCACCGCTGCATGTCGGCCTGCGGGGGTTGGGGGGACATTTAGCAGGGGAGGCTGCCGCCTGGAGGGCCCTCCTCCCGGCTCTCTTAGTGGGGCTCTCCTGAGTCCTCATGGTGGCTACCAAGACCTTTCCTCCTGAACTCCCTTCCCTCTAAGGTCTGGGCTTTCTGTGATCACCTGGCCAACATGCCCCGGGGCATCTGCGCTGGCTGTTCCCTCCACCCGCATGCCCTTCCTTCAGAGGGTCACACGGCTACCTCCTCAACATGCAAGTCGTAACTACTACAGATCTTACTGTCTCCTTCAAAATCTGCCCAGATCTGTCCACTACGGCCCCCAACCTGGCTCAGCCACCACATGCCCCCTTCCTGGTGTCCCGGCCTTCACTCCTGCCAGGCAGCCCTTGCTCCACGCGGCAGGCGCCAGCTCACCTTGTGTTGGGCCAGCTCGGGCAGGGAGCGGCGCACGTGCTCCTGCAGCCGGTACAGGGCCACGGATGGCTCGTTGGCCAGGACATAGACGCTCTCGGTGAACTTGTCCGTGACTGGGTCCAGGGTCAACAGGCGGTGGAGCAGGGGCCGGGGGTGGGGGGACAAGGAGACAAAGCATCAGCCTCCTGATTGCTCGACTGTGAGCTTAGCCAGAGCAGAGAGGAGTGTCCAGCGTCCTTCCCAGCAGCTGGGTCACCCACAGTGCGTGATGGGCTAGAGGACATGGTCACAGCAGGGCCTCACTCGAGAGGACATTAACCCTTCCAGTGAATTCTTGATCTTTCCCCTCCCAGATCCACTCCTGCTGCCCACTGGGACCCCCTTGCATTCCTTTCACCCCAGTGAGCACACCTGAGACTCCTGTTCAGAGAGTGCCACGGGACCCCAAAGTGCCTGGAAGTTTACATCCCTGGATGGGATGGCCGATGAGTGACATGAAAGCCTGCGGCCCTTGCTGCATACTGGAACCACCTGGAGGTGTAACTCCTCCCTGTGAGCTCCCCTGCAGGACCCGGCTGAAGCCAGATATGTCCCTCCCTTACTCGAAGCCCTCCCACCTGCCAGAGGATAAAATCTGTCTTACCGCAGCCCACAGGGCCCTGCGTGTTCTGGCTGCTGTTGACCTCCTGCCCTCCTTGCCTTCCACCCCTGGCTATGCCTTGGACTCTCCCAGCACTGTCCAAAAGAACTTTCTGAGATGATGGAAATAGTCTATAAACTTTTTTTTTTAAGAGTTGGGGTCTCACTATGTTGTCCAGACTGGACTCAACTCCTGGGCTCAAGTGATCCTCCTGCCTCAGCCTCCCAAGCAGCTGGGACTGTGGGCATGCACATGGCTACCAAACACTTGAAATGTGGCTAATGTGACTGAGGAACACAATTTTTAATTTTACCCAATTTTAATCAACTTCACTTTAAATACCTAGCTCCGAATACTTTGCCACCTCAGGGCCTTGGCACCCGCTGTTCCTTGCCCTGAGACATCCTTCTCCCACAGGCTCCTCCTCATTCCTCATGTCTCAGCTCAAATGTCATCTCCTGGGCAAGACCTTCCTTGACTAACAAGCTTAATCAGATGTCCGCCTCATTCAGGACCTCAGCATTTTTTTTTTAATTCTCTTATATCTGTTATAATTTATTAGGTTACGTTACATGTTTCCAGAAAAAAAACTTAAAGCTTGGATACATGAAGGCATGGAATTCTGAGCTTCAGCTTCCTCATTTGAAGAAACGAGGGCCAGGCGCAGTGGCTCATGCCTGTGATCGTAGCACTTTGGGAGACTGAGGTGGGAGGATCCTTTGAGGCCAGGAGTTCAAGACCAGCCTGGGACAACAGCAAGACCTCATCTCTTAAAAAATAAAAAAAGACCTGGGCATGGTGGTGCACACCTGTAGTCCCAGCTACTTGGGAGGCTGAGGCAAGAGGATCACTTGAACCCAGGAGTTCGAGGCTGCAGTGAGCTATGATGAAGCTGTTGCACTATAGCCCAGGCAACAAAGCTAGACCTTGTCTCAAAAAAAGAAAGAGAAAGAAAAATAAAAAAGGGAATGGTAACAGCACCCACCTTGGGGTTTGCTACAGAGGTGGATCCAATGCTATGGCCCAGGGTGACTGCTGAGGAGAGAGAAGCGAGGAGTGTCTGAGAGTCAAGGGAGGCTGCACACGAGTCTGTCATCTCACCACTGTGCCCCAAGTGAGCAGAGCCCAGCCTGCCACCCCAGAACTGTGATCTCTTACTCTACAAAACAAGCCTCCTTGTTTTGAAAATGAGCATAGTAATATAATAGTTTATACCTCACAGTGTGGTTATGAAGGAGGAGGAATTAATTGTACTTGTGCTTTCTAAATAATTACCTGGAAGTAATTTGTGTAATAAAATAACAAAAAACAATTATAATTCAAAAATAGTTTGTGGCATTTAGAAATTTGTATTAATAGTTATTTGATTTCTAAATACAATCATCCCTGCGTACCTGTGAGAGATTGGCTCCCAGACACCCCCTACCCCCCCCCCCCCGCAATAAGCAAATCCAAGGAAGCTCAAGCACCTTATATAAAACGGCACAGCATTTGCATACTTTAAACCATCTCTAGATTTACTTGTGTCTGTAATGCCTAATATAAGGCTTGCAGGTCACTTCGTTCTCCAGATTCAAAGTAGTACTTGGTGGACGGAAATTTAAGTTTTGCTTTTTGCAATTTTGTGGAATTCTTTTCCCGAATTTTTCCATCCGCGCTGGGTTGAATCCACCCATTCGGAACCCGCGGATAGGGAGGGGTAATTATATTTGATAAGTCAATGGAAACATACAAATGCGTAAATACCTAAAGAAATAAGGAGACACCACGAACAGCAATTACAACACCCCACGCATTCTTCCAATGTGTTATAAAAATCAGGTTATGGTTTTTGTTTTTTTAAGAAACAGGGAGGGTCTCACTCTGTCGCCCTGGCTCGAGTGCAGTGGCGCGATCATAGCTCACTGCAGCTTGGAACTCCTGGGCCCAAGAGATCCTCCCCTTCAGCCTCCCAAAGTGCCGGGATGACAGGTGAGCCACCGCGCCAGGCCAGATTATTAAGACAATCCAGGGGTGTATCATACTCCTCATTTTACAGACGACAAAACCAGGCACCGAGACGTTGTAAAGGTTTCAAAACTAATCACAGCTCCCCGCACGCTCCCTCCGCGCCTTTGCCACTCCCACCCTTTATCAAGGCGCCCCTTCGCGAGTTCCCGGTCCCCTTTGTCCCGCCTGAGAACCTGCACCACCTTTCTTTCCCTTGAGCTGCATCTCTGGTTCATCCATAATGACTGCGGCCCACGGAACCAGAGGACCGAACCCGGAAGTCCGGACCTGGGACCGCTGCCCAAGCCTTCCCTGCGGAAGCCGCACGCCGGACGACTCCAGTTCCGGTGGCAGTTGGCCTGCTCACCCCGCTCCTCCGTCTCCCGGGACAGGAGACGGGCTGTAAGTGGGAGAGGGAGAGAAAGAGGAAGGAGGCACACCCGGGGGCGGGTGAGGACGGGGCGGAGAGCCCCCTGAGGCTCCAGGGGAACACCCAGGCGGACACTCAAGGACTCCCTGGCTTCCCGAACCCCCTTTTCCTGGAGCAGACGAGTTGGGGGAACATTCTACACACTGCCCACTTCGGGCCGCATAAACGCCCTCCTTTAGTCCCCTGCCACCACCAAATCCCTCCACACGCTTATAAACCTTTGGGACCGTAGAAGGGACATCGTTATGGAACCGGTTGGCAACGGCTCTTCGCCCCTTTAAACTCTGGAGGCCCCGCCCACTTCCTTCCGCCCCCCTGCTAGAGAGCCCCGCCCATCCTTCCGGGGCGGGAACCCATTGGCTCCCGCTGGAAAAACCTATGGGCGGAGCCGGGGGGCGGTGAAGGGACACGGGAGCAGTGAAATTCTGAGTCCTTTGAGGCCCCGCCCATTGCCTCCGGAGCTGAGGGGCAAAGAACGCGCAGGCGCAATCCTGGTGCTACGGCCCCAGCGGAAGCCACGCCCCCCCCGAGTCTTAAAGGGCCAGAAGCAGCTCTTACTGCTCGGGCCCTTCCGCATTTTTGGGGGGGCGGAGGTGCGCAGGCGCAGTGGGGGAGCTCTGGGGTCGAGGTTAGCGGTCGCATATCAAGTTGCTCCCTGTCCCGGCAGAGGAAGATAGGGCGCTGAGGGTCTAGTCTCCAGCCTGCTCCCCATTATATCCTTTGGAAGAGGAAACTTTGTGAATTGGGACCCCAAGTTTTGGGGAAACTGGGCTTGCGGCGCGGGGGGACAGAGGAGACTCCTGGGGAGGTGAGGGAGGTGAGTGGACCCTGGATCGGTTTGGGAGGCGCGGGTGGGCCTGGGACCAATTGCATCTTTGTTGAGCCCGCACTCATCTTGGGGACTCCCCCTCCCAAATAAGTACAGCGACTGCTTATTGAGCTCTGCCCTTACCAGGCCCCTGCTAAGCTACTTACAGACATGATTTGTTTTGGGCCTCATTTCCCCATTTTACTGAGGAGGAAGCTGAGGCTCAGAGGTTGTCGTCGCACACCTGAATTCTCACAGCCTATGCGTGGGGGTATTCAAACCCAGACAGCTGACCCAAGAGCGGGGCTTTTAAGCATTGCGTGTTGCATTTGCCTTGGTGGTGGGGAAGAATAGGCCTAAAAAGCAGTTGGACTCTGGTTTTAATTTCCTGGCTCTGGCAATTAACCCGAGCCTCAGTTTACCCACCCTCATAGTGCAAGGCCAGGTATGCAGTCAGTGTCTACTTAGTAACAGCTGTTGATAATTATTGTCATCTTTTCCCTTCTGGTACGTCCAACAGCTTCCCCCATGGAGCCCACTCAACCTGCAGAGGACCTCATCCTGACCGAGCAGCCCCCTGCCTCAGAACTTGGGGACCCCGAAGACCCCGGGGATGAAGCCCCAGATGGCTCAGAGACTGTGGTCCTCAGTCTCTTCCCTTGCACCCCGGAGCCTGAGAATCCTGAACCAGACGCCAGTGTCTCCTCACTGCAGAGTAGGGTACCTCCTCGGGGATTGGCCCTTTGGGATTCGATGCTGGTGGAATGTCAGATGACACCTCTGTCTTTATGATCCTCTACCTAGGACATGTCTTCCCTCTACCCAACAAGGGTTGTTTTTCACAACTTTGTACATTTTTGTATTGTGGTATGGTACACATAACGTAGCATTTACCATTTAAACCAGAACTGCAGTACAATTCAGTGTCAGTAAGTACATTCACAGTGTTGCATAACCACCACCTCTATCTAGAATATTTTCATCACCCCAAAAGGAAACTCCGCACCCATTCCCCTCTCCCTCCAATCCCTAGCAACTACTCTGCTTTCTGTCTCTATGGATTTATCTATTCTGGACATTTCGTATAGAGTCGTACACTATGTGGCCTTTCGTGACCGGCTTCTTAGCGTGATGTTTTCAGGGCTCATCCACGCCGTAGCAGGTGGCAGTGCTCCATGCCTTTTTAAGGCTGCATACCATTCTGCAGTATGGGTGGACTGTGTTTTGTTTATCCATTTATGCTTTGCTAGACGTTGCCTTTTTGGCTATTGTGGGTGATACTTCTGTGGACATTCCTGTACAAGTTTTTGTCTGCACACGTGTTTTCAATTCTTTGGGGACAGATATTATACCTAGGAGTGAAATTGCTGGGTCACGTGGCAATCCTATGTTTGACTTATTGAGGAACTGAGGATTTATTTTTGACTGAAGTCTTAGAACCTGTCTAATTCAGTCCTATCCCAGGACCTTTGTTCCTGCCATTCCTTCTGTCTGGAATGTTCCTTCCACACCTCTTCCTACAGCTGATTGCTTTGACTTGCCGAGATCTCAAAGGTGTCACCTCCAGGAGGCCCTTTCCCGACCAGCTTGTCTAAAATGGACTCACTCTCTTTTTAATGTCTTCTACCTGCATTTTTAATTCTTTGGAGCCCTTATTTCAGCTTGAGGTTTTATTCCGTTTCTGTATCTGAAGCAGCCGCTTGGGCTCCCTTGAGGGCAAAGCCTCTGTCTCGTTTGCCGGGACATTGCGCAGCGTGGAGGGGAAGGATGCACCCTGGGTCTCCGAGGGAGAACAGCGAGTGAATGGCGGGGTCTCAGGCACGGTCTGTGGTAGCTCCGAGCCCCAAGGGTCAAAGCCCCAGAGACATACACTGGGGAAACTGAGGCCCCTCCTCTCTGTCCCAGCAGGCAGCGCCCTGAAGCACTCTACAACCCTCACCAACCGGCAGCGGGGGAATGAGGTGTCGGCCCTGCCGGCCACCCTAGACTGTGAGTGGGTCCCCAGTGGCGAGAGGGTTAGCAGGATGGGATGGGCTGAGAGGAACCATTGTGGGCAGAGGGTAAACTGAGGCACAGAGAGGAGATGGGGCGGGTGAGGACTCTGCTTCTCTCCGGCCTGCAGCCCTGTCCATCCACCAGCTCGCGGCCCAGGGGGAGCTGAGCCAGCTGAAAGAGCATCTGAGGAAAGGTGCGTGTCCACACGCGTGTGCTGGCGTGTCTGTGCCTACCTGGTGTGTGCGTGTGGGCGCCCTGTGCCCGCGCACAGTGTGTTTGTGTGAGCATGAGCATGTCCACGTGACCACCCACACGTGTGCTTCCCTGCATGTCTGACCCCACGTCCTACCGCGCGCTGGTGGCGCTGGGGAGAGGGCAGGGTGCATCCTCGTGGTACCACCTCCCTCCTGCCAGGAGACAACCTCATCAACAAGCCGGACGAGCGTGGCTTCACCCCACTCATCTGGGCCTCTGCCTTTGGAGAGATCGAGACCGTCCGCTTCCTGCTTGAATGGGTGCGTCCCGGCCCACCTGGGGGCTTCCTGGGGGCTCGCAGGTGGGCTGGGGTCTCAGCTGTGTCTGCTGGTTACTTGTCTGTAAGATGAAGCTGCTGTGGGGACCCCAGAATTCCTGGGGATGCCCCTACCCCTCTTGTCACTGTCCCCCTCTCTCCACCAGGGTGCCGACCCCCACATCCTGGCCAAGGAGCGGGAGAGCGCCCTGTCACTGGCCAGCACGGGTGGCTACACAGACATTGTGGCGCTGTTGCTTGAGCGCGACGTGGACATCAACATCTATGACTGGGTGAGGCACCACCCACCGCAGGCACCTCACGGCCTCTTTGCCTCCATTCCTGCCCTCAAACATTTATCAAGGCGGGCACGGTGGCTCATACCTGTAATCCCAGCACTTTGGGAGGCTGAGGTGGGAGGATCTCAAGACCAGGAGTTCAAGGCCAGCCTGGGCAATATAGTGAGAACCCATCTCTACATAAAAATAAAAAAATTAGCTTGCGTGGTGGTGCGCGCCTGTAGTCCCAGCTACTCAGGAGGCTGAGGCAAGATTGTTTGAGCTCGAGTTCAAGGCTGCAGTGAGCTATGATCATGCCACTGCACTCCAGCCCGGGCAACACAGTGAGACTGTCTCTTAAAAAAAAAAAAATTAAAAATGAAACAAACAGGCCGGGCATGGTGGCTCATGCCTGTAATCCTAGCACTCTGGGAGGCTGAGGTGGGTGGATTGTTTGAGCTCAGGAGTTCGAAACCAGCCTGAGCAAGAGCGAGACCCCATCTCTACTAAAAAATCGAAAGAAATTAATCGGACAACTAAAAATATATAGAAAAAATTAGCCAGGCATGGTGGCGCATGCCTGTAGTCCCAGCTACTCGGGAGGCTGAGGCAGAAGGATCGCTTGAGCCCAGGAGTTTGAGGTTGCTATGAGCTAGGATGACGCCACGGCACTCACTCTAGCCCGGGCAACAGAGGGAGACTCTGTCTCAAAAAATAAAAAACTAAAAAAAATAAAACAAACACAAAACATTTATCAAGTGCTGGCAGGGTACCAGGCCTGCTCTGGGTGCTGGGAACTCAAGTCAGACCCGTTCCCAAGCCTCACAAGGCTCCCAGTTTGGGGGAGGCAGACATGGAAACAGGCAGATGAGATACAGTGAATATGTTGTGATGGCAGGCGCACAGGCAGCTGCAAGCACCCAAAAGTGGCCAGGGAAGGTCAGGAAGGGCTTGCTGGATGAAGGGGTGTCTAAGCTTGATACTCAAAGTACAAGACAGACTGGCGAGGTGATGAGCAGGAGGAGGAACCACATTAAATTGGAGGCCAGAGAGTGAGGTGCATTGTGAGAACTGGGGAAAGATAAACCGCTGAGTTTCCCTTGTCCCCACCCCCAACAGAACGGAGGGACGCCCCTGCTGTATGCTGTGCGTGGGAACCACGTGAAGTGCGTTGAGGCTTTGCTGGGTGAGTGGGGTTAGAGACTAGCCCCGGGGGCCCCAGCTGGCCCTGCAGGAGTCCCGAGGGCAGGGAGGGGGCTGGGCTCTGCTTGTACTGTTCCCGAGCTGGGTGGTGACTACCTGCTGCTCTCAGAGCGGGGATCTGGGGACAGCAAATGGTAGGACAGCATAGGGGTCTGGCCAAGGAGTTGAACACCTCCACTCTCCATGCCTCAGGGACCCTGGAGCCACAGTCTTCAGAGGAGACTGAGCCTTGGAGGGGTTGGGCTCTTGTCCAAGGCCACATGGGCAAAGGGCAGGCCCATGGCTGCATCGTGAGGGGTGAGGTTACTGGATCTCCCAAGTCCCCAGGTCCCATTCTGGGCTCCTGTCCCCCGCTCCACCACCTAATCTGCTTTGCAGCCCGAGGTGCCGACCTCACCACTGAAGCCGACTCAGGCTACACCCCGATGGACCTTGCTGTGGCCTTGGGACACCGGAAAGGTCGGCCTGCGCCCCATGGAGCAGCAATTGGGTGCCACAAGCAGGGGACCACAAGGGGGTACATGGGACATGCCCTTCAGTTGGCAGATGCTGGCAGCAAGAGTGTTCATGTTAGCCAGCGTTAAGCGCCACTACGTACCTGGCCTGGACATGTCCCAGTCCTGGCTTTCGGGGCTACCCATGGGCTGGGGTAGGGAGGCCAGTGTGTGTCACTGACTAGGGCCGTGAGAGGCCCAAAGGAGGCCCCAGCTCAGCCTTAGGATGTTGGGGGGTGGGAGGGTCAAGGAGGGCTTCTGGGGGACCAGCAGGGCATCCAGGTGGGAGGAACAGTGCCTTCAGAGGCCTCGCAGGGTGAGGATCCCGAGAGGGAGGCAGCTGGGCCACAGGGAGCTGGGCACGGAGGCCAACCCTCTCCATGGCGGGAAGTGGCTTTGAGCAGGTGGGTTTGACTCCCTGCTGCTTCCCTCATAGTGGGACCTCAGTTTTCCCATCTATAAAATGGGGAGATCCTAACAGAACTGACTCTCTGGGGTCATGGAGGGATTAGGGGCTCGGGAAATATCCCCCTCCTTTCTTTGGAGTTTTATTCAATTTGGGATAGAAATCATTCCTTGCCACCCCTCTCATCTTTTTGTAAAAGTCACAGTTCACCAACATCGTTTGGTAGGAAATATTTTTATAACTCTGAAAAGCCACACAAAAATGCATTTTTACAAACTTATGGGAAGTTGAGCTTCCTGGGATGGAACCTCAGTCCTCCCAGCTTTGCTGTGGGAGGGGCATGGATTCCCTGGTCTATAAAGTGGGTCCCCCATCCAGGTGCCAGGGCTGGGAGGCCCCAGTTCCTCCCCCACGGGGAAAGAGTGCAGGTTGGCCCGTGCCTCTGCAGCCCCCAGTTCAAGCTCACGACCACTCTTTTCCCTTGCCCCACCTCTAGTGCAACAGGTGATCGAGAACCACATCCTCAAACTCTTCCAGAGCAACCTGGTGCCCGCCGACCCCGAGTGAAGGCCACCTGCTGGGAACTCAGACACTCAGGGAACAAAACAGTCGACTCAGAGCTGGGGGAACCCAGAACTGGCTTCAGAGGCAGCTCTTGGACAGGCGGTGGGAGGGGACCCTTCCCAACAGGAACCAATAAACCTTCTGTGCAGCAGAACTTGAAGGGCTTTGCTGTGTTTCCCCGAGGGCTTCCTGGAGGAGATCTCACACCTTCTCCCCCAGCACCCGCAGGTGGTAGATGACCATGCGGCCAAAAAAGTCAGTAGCATCCTCAAACGTCACTTTCAGCCGGTCCACCTCAGCAGCTGGCACGGGGAAGGTGTGAGCACGGACAGTCAAGGGAAACAGGGGGCTTTTTGTTTCCCACCCACCAACCCCCACCCTTCCCAGACCCAGGCTCTAGCCCCAGCTAGATGCCACCAATGTGCTGGGTGACCTGTGCAAGCTGTGGGCCCCTCTGAGCCTCCCACACAAAACAGGAGGTCGTCAGCCTCATTTTACAGACGAAGCGATGGAGGCCTAGAGGTCACTTGTTCAAGGTCACACACCAAGGTTCCCACTCAGGTCTGGGTGAGCCCAAAGCTTTCAGAGGCCCAGGCTACCCTAGGCGCGAAGGCCAGGGCAGGATATCTGAAGCGAGTTGTTGTCCTCAGGGTAGAAATCCACAATCTTGCTCAGAGCTTCACTCCCCTGGGAACCTGCAGCAGAGAAAGAGGCAGACAGTGAGTGAGTGTGCAGGGTGCCCCCTGGAACCCCCACCTCCTCCCGGGGCCTTCCAGTACCTTCTAGGCGGCCCAGGCGACTGGAGAAGCCCCCCTGGAACTGGATTTGAAGCTGAGAGACACGGATACGCTGGGGGAACTCTAGTATCACCCACTGAGAGGGGCCCTGGAAGCAGACAGGGAAACTGAGGCCCACCGTCAGTCTAGGCTAAGAGCCTGCTACCTCTCTCTCTCATTGACACAGTGCATGAGGGGAAAGGGGGACGTTCAGCACACGTTCCTTTCCTGGCCACCCGGACTGTGCCCGCCAGGCCCCCCACCCTCCGAAGTTCTCAAGGTACCCTGGACTCTCCAGTCTGATTCACACTACTTCCCCCTTACCTGATCCGAGTTCCAGCACGTCTCCTCGTCCTGATCGAACAGGTGCTTCTTTCCAAACTGCCGGGTGTTGCGGTTCAGCACCGAACTCACCCTAGAGGCACCGGGATCCAGGCGAGAGAGGGGCTGAGCCCAGCTCTCAGCGCCGCGGAGGGTCCTCCGCCAGCTCTGTCCACTGAGCTGGGCTGACGCCAGCCGTAGGGCCCTGCCGCTGTCGGACCCCCGACCCCCGACTCTTACCTGCTCACTGTCTCTGGACAAACCAAAGAGTGGGTCATCGCGGGTCCACAGATCTCCCAGGGACTGGGCTCAGCTTGGGTTCGAGTCCCGACGCCACCTGAGCCACAGAGGACGCAGCCTTGGCCACGTGCCTGGCCTGCACGTCCTTACCGGGTCACTCCGGACTCGAACGAGCCCCCTCGCCCGCCCCTGTCCTGAGTATCGACTCGATCACCGCCCCCCCCAGCCGGGAAAATCGGGAGTGGGGATCGGGGGAACTGCCAACGACCGGAGGCCAGGCCTTTCACAGGAAACAAGTTTCCCGCGGGTTTGGGGGCGGTCGCTCCCTGTCTGAGCCTCAGTTTCTCAACCGACAGCGCTGGGGACCAAAACCCGGGACCCGGAACCGCGTGGGCGCGGCGCATGCGCAATAGTTTCAGGTCCCGCCCTGCAGCCGCACCTGGGGCGGGGCTTAATTTTTCCCCGTCCCTTCATGCCCGCTTCTTAAAGGGCCCGGGTTCAATGATTGAATTTCTCTGAGAGCTGGAGGAAGGCGGCAAGCTGCGTGGGGAGCGCGGTCCTCTGGTGCTGGGATGTAGAGCACTGGTTTGGGAATCTAGAGACTTCCTATAGCGATGGCTTCCTACTCGGGAAAGTCTGCTGAATCCATTTCCTAACTGCTAATGCAACCTAGGAACCCCTGAACCTCACTGCCTCCCAGAGGCCAAAGCAAGAGACGTGGAAAAGGCCGTGATTTTGGGGATATCAATCTCCTTTGTCCTTGCTGGGGCGCAGAAGGCCCGTGCTCCAAATCTGTCTCTCCCAGAAAATGCTGCCTAGGACATCAAGGAAGGCTTCTTGGAGGAGGGGGCATGCAGGTGGGTTTTGAAGCATAAACAGGAGTTTGCCAAGCCAGATTACACAAAACCTCAGATACCAGGCTAAAGACTTGGTTCAGTGATCTGCTAGACAGCTCTTGCCACCCTCTAGTGTGACACCCTTGTGCTCGGCCCTGTGCTGGGTGATGCTGAGGATGGCAAGAGACCTTAACTCCAGCCCCATCCCTGAGTGAGGAGCCCACAGCCTGGGCAAGACAGAGACAGACACACATTCCACGCCCCGCGGGGTGCGGGCTGAACCACAGGAAGAGATATGGCTGGGCGAGCAGGGGTTCTACCCAGACAAGGTTATCCTGGGAGGGGAGATTTTAGACCTGCACCTTATTGCGTTGGCAGAAATTCACCAGGGTAAGAAAATCTGCTGTGGGAAGGATGTTCCAGGCAGGGAGAACAGGAAAAGCAAAGGACTAGTTGGGTGAAAGACCATGAATTTGAATAAAATATGTAGAGCCACATCCTGCTGGGCCATGGTGGGGGGGAGGTGTTGGAGAAAGGGCGGGCACCATCTGATCTGCATGAATGGAGGGTTCCAGAGAGCAGCCGCTGGCAGGAGGCTGCTGTTCCTGGCTTCGGCTGAATGATCTGGCATCGAACCCCTTTCTCCAAGGACTGGGGGAATGGTCCTCCTGGCATCCTGCTAGCGTCTGCCCGAACCCACTCCAGGAGGGGGCTGGTGGGGAAACTGGGTCACCCGCAGAAGGGCTGCCTCCTGAGCCCCTGCCTGCCAGGACTTTGTGCATTCAGACACAGTCTGTTGCCGTCCAGCTTTGTGCTGGTCTCAGGGATGGGACTGCAGGTGACAGGAAACACTCCACCCCCACCCTCACCTCCAGAGAAAGTTAGGAAGAGCATGGACCCTGGAGAGCCCAGATCTGTTTCGAATCTGGGCTGGACCCCTCACTGGCTGTGTGAACTTAGACAAACATCTTGACCTCTCTGAGCCTCAGTTTCCTCATCTGAGAAGTGGGGGGAATTCTATTTACAGGGCTGTTGGAGGATTCAGTGGGCTCTTTGGGTTGACACATAGCAACAGTGGCTGGCATTTGTTGAGAGCCCACTGTGTGTCTGACTTGAAGCCACATTTTCTTCTCCATCCATTGGTTCGTTAAACCGGCCATAGCTGGTCCCTGTCACCCCTACTTTGTAGCTGAGGACACAGCGACTTGGCAAAGGTCCCCCTGTGAGGATATGTATGGTCCCAGGGCTCTCCACACCACTCCTGGCCTTGGCATGCGGCCACCTTGTCCACTGGGATGTGGCCAGCTCCATACTCTCTTCCCGCCTCCTCACCCCCCTGGAGCCAGGGCATGAAAGGGCCTCCTGTTTCTCCAGGGAATTAGTGGCTCTGGGCTCCCAGCAGGGCGGCCAGAAGGGGTCCGTTCATTTTCCTGAGTGAGGAGAGACTAAGAACTCCCAACCCCACCCCAGGGGAGGGGGCAGGAAGAGCTCTAGAAGGTCCAAAAACATCTCCTCTGGTTTGCTGGGGAAACTGAGGCACAGAACAGCAAAGTCATTTAGCCATGGTCACCTAGGAGGACTAGGATGCAAACCCTAGTCTGACTCCAGAGTTCCCCCGAACCCGCACCAAGTTCTGCATTTTTCAGGGGAGAAATTGGAGACTCAGAAAGGGTTGGGGACTTGCCGAAGTCACAAGCAAGTTTGGGTGGTGGGGACTCTCTCTGCATTGGCCGTCTCTGGGGAGTCAGCCCCACCCGTGCAGAAAACATGCTTCTGTCATCTCAGAGCAAGACAGGGAAAGGCTCTCAGATGGCTTCGAGCCTGGGGACTGGGTGTAATGGTTTCCCTGAAGTCTCAGCCTAAGGTGACCCCATGGGAAGGAGGGTGGGACAGGATCCCCCAAGCCTGGACCGCCCAGTCTGGCAGGTGTGGGGCTGATTTATCTGCCAGGGTACACCTGGGTCCAGCAGGGCCCGGCTCAGAATAGGAGGGTGCTCACTGAGCACTAGCTGGGGGTGTTGGTTCTGGCGAGGTACAAGCCTGGGCTCCCGCTGGAGGTGACTGTGTGACTGAGCATGGGTGGCTGGGTGCACAGGGACTGAGGTGCACGGGAAGACCTGGGGCTGCGTGTGTGTGGCTGGTTGTGACAGCAGCTGGGAGGCTCGTGTCTGTCGGGGTTGGTGACGTTGGTGCCAGTGGACGTGGTCGTGTGCTGTTTGTGGGCGTGCGCACACCTGGAAACGTGGGTGCGTGAACAACGAGGGGCAAAGGCGAGCTGTCTGCGGCTGGCAGGAAGGCGAGGGTGGGTGGGTGTGAACAGCAGTGGGTGTGTCTGAGTGTGGAGGGACGCGAGGTGCAGCCAAGCTCGTGGCTGTGCGTTTGGCCATGCAGCGAGCATGACTTGTATGTGGCCTGGCCAAGTGTGGTTGTGCGTCTTGTCAGGTGTGGTTTTGTGTGGCCGGTAAGACTGTGTGTGGCCAAGTGAGGTTGTGAGTGAGCTGACTGTCCTATTGGTGTGGCTGGGCAGGGGCCGTGGTGTGACCGTGTGTCAGTGGTGGTTGGTGACATTGTGTGTGATTTGTCCATGTGTCACTCTGGGTTTGTTCTGAGGCCCTTTGGGGGACTCTGTCCACCTCTGAGACCCACTTCTCCTGGAAGGTCCAGCTTCCCCACCTCAACTCTGGCCCACCAGCCCCCTCCCCCACTGGCATTAGCCCCTGGCCCAGGGCCCCAGTGTTGGGGAGTGGGGTGGGGACAGAGACGGCACTCAGGGATGGGGTGGGGGCCTTGCCCAATCCCAGCTCAGGCCTATAAATAGCTCTTTGAGCCCAGCAGATTCCCAGGCAAGGGTGCCTCATTCAATCCCCCGGCAACAGCCCGCCCCCGGGCCCCGGGCCAGCCCCTCTAAGCTCAGCCCTGGCACTGGGCTAGGGGAGGGGGGGCGCAGGGGTGGCGGCTGTTTGGAGGGGTGGGGGTAATCGGGCTGCAGGCCAGCTCTGTGGCCACAAACCTGCACTCCCACCAGGTCCCTACACATGCTGCGCAACCTCAGGCAGGTGGTCCCGTCTCCATGAGCCTCAGTTTCCCCAGAAAACTGTAAAATAAGCAGCAGCCCCTGCCTATGTGTTAACTTCCCATTTCGTTCTCCCAGCAACCTGCAAGATGGGGACGGTGAATTATCCCCATTTTAGATGGGGAGACCGAGGCACAGAAAGACCAGATGGCTCACCCAGAGTCTCACTGTTAGGAGGGACCGGGAGGGGGTTTGAACTGGATTTGTGGAGGCTGAACTGCTCCGTTCCCACGCACGCCACACAGCCGCACTCAGCCCCCCTCCTGCACTACAGCCGCGACCACCACCCTCGTGCCAGCCTTGATGACCAGTCATCACACGCTCTCTGGGCGCTGGCGACACCGCTGTCACGCAGTCACCTCACATCAGCCAAGATCCCTGACCTCTGTCTCCTCTCTGTGACATGGAGTTGGACAGTAAGTGTAGCTGGCCCCTGTGTCACCTTGGACCCTAGGGCTGCTGCTTCCTTCCCTGGGGTCTTCCCTCATCCCTCATACATTCCCACCCCCTCTGCGGAAACTAATCCTGCGGAAACTATCCTGTCCTCTGTCTGTCTGTCCCCTGACCAGACTGAGACCCCCTCTCAGAGATTCTCAAACACACACACACAGATGCAAGCCTTGGCGGCGGGGGTCGCAGGGGGCTCCCGCCAGTCTCAGCCAAGGCTACAGGAGGGAAGGCAGGGGAAGGGACCGACCTCTCCAGGCTTTGTTCCCCTCCTCATTTACATTTTTTTATTGTGATAAAACACCCATAGGCTTTTAAAGATTGGGGTCTCCCCCAAGGACACACCTACGCTCCTACCCAAAGCAAAAATGTTCCTGGGACAACAGTCCCAGGACTTTAGCCTGTGTTCCATAAATGCTGATTGGACAGAGGTGAGTGAATAAACGATGCCATCTGGCTGGAGCTGCTGGAAACGTCTCCGGAGTGTGACACACCTTGGGCTCCCACCCCACTGCCTCTCACCGGCCGTGTGACCAAGGAATCTTGCCGTCTTCTCTGAGCCTGTTTCCTCTCTATAAACAGCCATTGCAGCCAAAACTGCCTCGAGGGTGAGCCCTGGAGAGTGGGCAGGCCGGGGTTTGAATCCCAGCTCTGCCTTTCCCTCCTGCGTGACCTTGGGAAGCGACTTTACCTCCTTGGGGCTCAGTTTCCCCACCTGTGAAATGGGGCAGGTCTCATCATGGGGCGCGCTGGGGACACTTAACGGCGTTCCTGGGGTAAAGAGAACGGCGGGCAGGTCAGGCACAGTCTTCCGCCAGGATGGGGTGAGTGTCGGAAAAGTGGGGGAGGATTTTAGGCAGGGGGAGCCCCCTTCCTCGCGCAGCCGGAGGCCTCTGGCTGGCGGGGGCGCATGCGCAGAGCAGCCCCGCGGCCCCTTTATAAGCGCCGAGGCGGCGCTGGGGCGAGCTGAGCGCAGGGGCTGGACCCGGCGCGGAGCGAGCTGAGCCCGAGCGTCCTTTG